GATAGTAAGGGAAATGGGAACTATGAGGTATCAGCAAAGTGCCACACATATATGAAATGCCTATGCGTGGAAGACAGAAAAACAAGTCTTAGGGAAAAAACGAAGGGAAAATATGTGGGGTTGCCTGGAACTTGCATGGAACAAAGACGCGACAGACCAAAACCAACTCACCTGAGAACCATGACGGGATTGACCAGGAGTAGAATATGAAAGAAGAAATGTAAGATAGTATGGATAGGTAATATTCGCTGAGGTCCGTTGCGTAAACCAGTGTTGAAATGTAATGGAGTATGAGTATACTATATTATTATTTTCATGTTGAAATTCAGTGTCAATATTAGGAATAGCATTAACTCGGCTAATTTTGAGGGGCTTGCACGATCAGTATAATTCACAATTTATTGAATGATAGAATGGAAACAAGAATTGTGCGTTGACGCCATTCGTTTACCACACACTGTCTAATATATATTATATAATATATATATATATATATATATATATAATATATATATAATATATCGCCCATTACCTAGACCCCTTCCTTAGGCATGTGTTCAAGGTATGGATAACTTTAGCGCAGACTTCTGCACTCTCCTGTTGCAGGGTTGCGGAATGCGCTGTTTACTCAGTTTTATAAGGTGTTATTGACATGATAAGTATCTACTCTCATTAGAATCTTGATTTCTCCTCTTGTGTCATGCCTCGTCGCCGAATAGTGCGCTCACTGTATTTGAATCCTAAGCATATTTCTATGAATAAGTTTGTATCTTTGAACTTGCAGCTATCCTAAACAGCACACCGCAACCTAGTTCCTAGAAATCTCATGATGATGACACGTGGATACTTGCATGGATTAGTTAAGGTCAGTAAATAGTGATTACTGATCTTGAGTCTACACAGACTCAATGCTAATGAGTGTCTTACTTTTCGAGGACACCGCTGATTAGTTTATGTTAGTTCTGTGGCACTTTTCTCTGCTATCTTCAAGACTGCTAGAATCTTGAGTTGTTTTACTAATACTGGTTATCTTGGTAATTTAGCAAGGAATGGCTCGTCTCAACCAGCATTCAGCTGATCATTAGCACGTACGAAATGGCAACTACGAAACGGCGCGTGACTGTGCCACTCGTGATACCTTGTGCAAAGTGATCTGACGTTTCATGGAAAATCTTACATAGTTGTTTCCTAAACTACGTGCCAAGACGTTGGGTAAGACAGAGCAGGTTCATGGCAGATAACCAAATACAAGGTGTCAGTGCAACGCTGCTGCAATGCTGAAAAAAATGTGTTTGTATAATAATGAAAAATCAATAGATGTGTGCACAGAAGCCCCACTCGCGACTTCTTACAGTATTTTGTGCATCGTCTAATCTTTCGTCTTCCTGTGTGGCAGGCCTTAGGGACAAGGGTAGCAGTGTAATAATTTTTTTTTCAATATCACACACACCAAATATATATATGTATATGCGTATATATATATATATATATATATATATATATATATATATATATATATATATATATATATATATATGTACATGTGACCATATAGGAAAATAGATAGCTAAATAGCTACGGATATATATATATATATATATATATATATATATATATATATATATATATATGTGTGTGTGTGTGTGTGTGTGTGTGTGTGTGTGTGTGTGTGTGTGTGTGTGTTGTGTGTGTGCATACACAAATAACACACACACACACACACACATACATATATATATATATATATATATATATATATATACACACACACACACACACACACACACACACACACACACACATATATATATATATATATATATATATATATATATATATATATATATGTATATATATATATATGTAACACACACACATGTATGTATGTATGTATATACAGATATATCTTGTGAATATCTATCTATCCATATCTATCCACATATATATATATATATATATATATATATATATATATATATAATATTGTACCATCCTGTTCCATTCTTTCCATATAACAACTTATTGAAACATTCATACATACAAACTCAAGAACACGCAAACACCCACCCTCACACACACACACACACACACACACACACACACACACACACACACACACACACACACACACACACACACACACACACACACACACACACACACACACACACAATAACACACACACACAATCACACACACGCAATCACACACACACATACAATCACACACACACAAACGCGCGAACGCACACGTAGTGTCAGATGGTTCATGGTTTCCATTATCTTGTTAATTCAGTGTGAAATATACCTGGAAGTATGCCAACTTGTTCGTTAATTTCCATAATTCACTTTGGCGATATTGCAGTCTACTCTATATATTTCGCTTTCATATCGCTCCCCCCTCTCTCTCTCGCTCTCTCTCTCTCTCTCTCTCTCTCTCTCTCTCTCTCTCTCTCCTCTCTCTCTCTCTCTCTCTCTCTCTCTCTCTCTTCTCTTTCTCT